GAACCGGTCTGTATGTGGGATCCGAACCCTCGGCGGGAGCGCCGCCGCGCTCGCAAGCGGCACACTGTAGCAGTGCGCCACCGGGCCGGCCCCCTTGCTCTGTATTTTAAATTATACAAGAAGAAGCTCAAATTACTCTTGTTAAATTTTTTTTTTTCCTTTTTATCTTTTTTTTTTTACTGACCGGTAACAGGATCGCAACCCTCGGTGTCGCGCCCACACCGGGGACCGGCAATGGGATTGCAACCCTCGGTGTTGCGCCCGCACCGTGCTCAACCAGTGAGCGGGAACTGGTCTGCACATGGGATCCGAACCCTTGGCGGGAGCGCCACCGCGTTCCCAGACGGCGCACTTTCCAGTGCGCCACTGGGCCAGCCCTTGTTAAATTTTTTTTTACCAAGATATAAAACACTTAATTCTCAATGTTTCTAATCTTTTAAATTACAGTGTACTAAATAAATTTTACTATATCAATTTCCATTAAACTATGCATTTATAACCAATAGAGGTTTTTTTTTTTTTTTCTTCTTTTTGTCTTTTTTACTGACCGGTAACGGGATCGCAACCCTCGGTGTTGCGCCCGCACCGGGGACCGGCAACGGGATCGCAACCCTCGGCGTTGCGCCCGCACCGCACTCAGCCAGTGAGTGGGAACCAGTCTCCACATGGGATCCGAACCCTCAGTTGTTATCAGTACCGCACTCTCCCGAGTGAGCCACGGGCCGACCCTACCCTTACTAATTTTGAAATATACATTAACTGTGGTCATCGTGTTGTGCAAAAGATCTTGATAAGATTATTTATTTATTTATTTTTTTAAAAAGATGACCGGTAAGGGGATCTTAACCGTTGACTTGGTGTTGTCAGCACCACGCTCTCCCAAATAAGGCACGGGTCGGCTCTATTGATAAAAATTTTTAAAGGCCATGGAATAATTGAAATTTTTCCCACTGATTATTAAGAGTGCTTTGTGTACTTACGGTCATTTTTATCGTCCTGTACTCCTGTGCAGAGAGGACTGTCTGTAGTCAATTATGGCCACCAAATTTTTATGAATTTAGACTTCATTAGATTTGAGTAATGTTTTTTGTTTGTTTGTTTGTTTTTTTAAAAGATGGCCAGTAAGGGGATCCTAACCCTTGACTTGGTGTTGTCAGCACCATGCTCTCCCAAGTGAGCTAACTGGCCATCCCTATATAGGGATCTGAAGCCGTGGCCTTGGTGTTATCAGCACCACACTCTCCCAAGTGAGCCATGGGCCGGCCCTAAGAGTAATGTTTTTGGGGCTGGCCAGTTAGCTCAGTCGGGTAGAACACAGCCTTGTAACAACAAGGTCAATGGTTTGGATCCCCATACCAGCCAACTGCCAAAAAATAAAATAAAATAAAGGTCAGGAAGGTGGATGGGGTGGTAGGTTGAGTTTTGAAAAAAGATTTCTTTAGTGTGCATCCAATCCCATATTTGTCTGTTATTATCGTTATAAAAACAAAAAGAGAAAAAGAGTAATGTTTTTGCCTTTTCTGTTCCCCTACCATCCCTTCTCAAATAATTCAGTCCTGAAGTCATTAGACAAAAGAGAGTAACCATATTTACAATGACCTAGCATGGGATTGTAGAAGCCAAGAAGGGTAGCTTACAATACAAAGTGAAATGCTTACCAATGCTTACAAGTAAAGCCAAAATTCCCTGTTGCAACCAAATTACATTTATACCCCATGGACTTAAGGAGGGTTTCAGGAAGCATGTTTCACAGTTCAATATATTGTTACCAGTTATTTTCATGACTTATGATGGGGTTACATTCTTATAAACCTATTGTAAATTGAAAATATTGTAAGTAAAAAATGAGCATTTTCTAGACGTGATATGATGCAAAACACAAAACATAATATCGTAAAAACACTGGCAACATGGAACACTGTATAGTATCAGTTGTTTACCCTCAACATGATCACTTGGCTGACTGGGAGCGGCAGCTCACTGCTGCTGACCAGCATCCTAAAGCATATTGCTAGCCCAGCAAAAGATCAAAGTTAAAAAAAAAAAAAAAAAAGGGCCGGCCCGGTGGCGCACTGCTACAGTGCGCCGCTTGGGAAGCGTGGCAGCGCTCCTGCCGAGGGTTCGGATTCCACATACAGACCAGCCGCTCACTGGCTGAGCGAGGAGCGGGGGCAACACCGAGGGTTGCGATCCCGTTGCCGGTCCCGGTCCGGTACGGGCGCAACACTGAGGGTTGCGATCCGTTGCCGGTCACGAAAAAAGACAAAAAAAAAAAAAAAAATTTTTTTTTGGCGGCTAGCTGGTACAGGGATGGTACCCTGAATCTTGGTGTTGTCAGCACCATGCTCAAAGTTCAAAATTTGAAGTATTAATTTACTGGTGTTAATGATTGTATTGTGATTATGTAAGAGAATATAATTGTCTGTAGGAAATATTAAAATTTCAGCATTTTACTCTCAAATAGTTCAGGAAAAGAAAGAGCTCTTTGTACTGTATTCGCAACTTTTCAATGAGATTGTTTCAAAATAAAAACTTTAAAAAAGTGATGTAACCATTTCATTAAAAATGTCCATCTTTATAATGTGTCCTTTATTTATTTATTCATTTATTGGTGGCTGGCTGGTGTGGAGAACCGAACCCTTGACCTTCGTGTTACAAGGCTGTGCTCTAACAATTATTTAATTTTTGATGATGTTGGCTGGTTAGCTTAGTTGGTTACAGCCCACTGTTATAACACCAAGGTTTTTTTGTTTTTGGTGGCTGGCCAGTACGGGGATCCAAACCGGTGACCTTGGTATTATAAGGCTACCGCACGGCATGGTGTTGTAACAATAAGGTCAAGGCTTCAGATCCACATGCAGGGCAGCCCCCCCCCCAAAAGGAAACATTTTAGATGTTTTTCTAAAAAGTGAAGTATATAATTTTCTAAATTATTTTACTTGAGCAAAAAAGTTGAAATATCACTGTCCTGGAAGAAGTAATTTCCCTCTCCATGGCTGTAGGCAAATGAAATAGCTTTCTGAACCTCTCCAGTGGATTTTCTCTGCTCTGGTCACATGTTATTAACAGAAAACACATTGTGCTTGGGAAGGGGGAGAGTAGTATTCCAGGGTCTAATTCTTGGGTTCGAAAACCTGTCTCTAATACTTGCTAGCACATTACTTAACTTCTCTGTGCCTCATTTTTCTTTCTTTCTTTTTTTAAAAAGATGACTGGTAGGGCCGGCCCCGTGGTGCACTCGGGAGAGTGCGGTGCTTGGGTGTGCCAGCAGTGCTCCCACCGCGGGTTCGGATCCTATATAGAGATGGCCAGTGGGTTGCGATCCCTTTACCGGTCACAAAAAAGACAAAAAAGAAAAAAAAAGATGACCGGTAAAGGGATCTTAACCCTTGACTTGGTGTTGTCAGCACCACGCTCTCCCAGGTGAGCTAACCGGCCATGCCTATATAGGGATCCGAACCCATGGCCTTGGTGTTAGCACTCTCACAAATGAGCCACGGGCCAGCCCTCTCATTTTCTTTATCTGCAGTAATGCAGGTGTTCTTAGTACAAAGCATGGCATGTAAGTGCTCCATGAACATCAGCTATTATCAATACTTCTGGAGTCTAAATTCTTTTTTTTTTCTTTTTGTCTCGTTTTTCATGACCGGCAACGGATTGCAACCCTCAGTGTCGCGCCCGCACCGGACCGGGACCGGCAACGGGATCGCAATGTTGCGCCCGCTCCTCGCTCAGCCAGTGAGCGGCCGGCCCGTATGTGGGATCCGAACCCTCGGCGGGAGCGTCGCCACGCTCTCAAGCGGCGCACTGTAGCAGAGCGCCACCGGGCGGGCCCTGGAGTCTAAATTCTTAAAGGGCATGATCCTATCTTATTCCTATTTTATTCTCATTCTCTCTGCCCTAGACTGTTTATCAGGTCATCTTTCCCCAGTCTTTTTTTCCTCTAATCTATCGTTCACACACCTGCAATTGTTATTTTCCTAATATATATATAAATCTGATGTCATTTCTCTGTGCTTACAGGTAAAGTAAAAATTCATTGCCACAATCAAATTACGCTTATAAGAGATTCACGAAGCATGCTTTCACAGTTCAACGCCTTTATTCCAGTTGTCTTCGTGTGTCCAGAATGTTCTTTCCTCCCTGATCACATTCTATTCATTTTAAAAAGGTCTCACAAAACTCGGCAGACTTTTTCACAAGCGATTAATCACTTGCTGCTCTAGATCATATATCATTATGTTTATAGCTCCATTAGGGCCAATTATACTTTAATAATTTAAAACCTGTCTGCCTCTATGTAGGCCATTCATTCATTCATCAAATATTTATTGAACATCTATTAGATAACAGGCCCTGTTTCCAGCGCTGAGGATACACCTGTGAACAAGTCAAGATTAGGTTCTCATGTAATTTATGTGGACGATAAGAAAATAAACAAGAAAAATACCAGGTAGTGGTGAATACTACGCAGAAAATGCCGAGTGGGTGTTCAATATTGTGTGGTAAGGGATCGGCTTTCCGAAGAACGAATTTGAAAGCGCCTCTTTAGTAAAAATCAGAAAGGAAGACCTGTCATGGTCGCGGGAACAACTGGTGCAAGTCCCCAAGGCAAGAATAAAGTACCGTGGCTGGAGCCACAGGGGGCGGAAGGTCTGTGAAGCCGAAGAAACTCCGTGGCCTGGGCGTCCCAGATGATGTTTTACAGAGGCCGGCGCAGACTCTCACTCCGCGTGCGGGGCCCTTGGCCAGCATTCAACACCCTAACGGGCTTTCCGCTCGGCATGCTCACACCAGGACTATTCTCTCCGGCGGTGGCAGGCGATGACACACATTCTCCACGCAGCTGTCCACCGCATAAAACGATTCCACGCAGAACCCTGGCGAGAGCCAGACGCAAAGCACGTCGAAGAGTGTTGCGCATGCGTACGCGCGTGCTCGCGTCGGTTACGGCGCCCGTCCCGAAGTGGGGCGGGGCCGGGCATCCGCGCCGGAAAGGGGTTGGCTGGGCGGGGCCGGGAGGCGGTGGTGGTGGCTGCGCGCGCGCGCGCGCGACCGGGAAACGCTGCGAGGGCCTCGGCAGGCCGGGGGGCAGGGACGACAGAAGGAGACGATGGCTGCGGCGGCGGGCGGCAGCGGGTCGGGGGCGGTAGCGGGCTCTGCGGGCGTGGGAGGCTCGGCGGCGGCCGTGGGCCTGGCAGTTTATCGGCGGAAGGACGGGGGTCCGGCCAGCAAGTTTTGGGAGAGCCCGGAGACGGTGTCCCAGCTGGATTCGGTGCGGGTTTGGCTGGGCAAGCACTATAAGAAGGTGGGTTCTCGCGCTCGTGGAAGTCGGGAGGCCGCGTGACGGGGACCAGGGACGGCTGCTGACCTCGCGGGCCTCAGGCCGCCCCTCCCCCCCCCCCGCGCGCCGCGAGGGACAACAAAGGCAGGCGCCGGGCCCGCCACGCCCCCGCCGTACGCTTTCGGCGCCGGCGCGTCCCGGGCCTGACTCGGTCCCGAGCTTATTTCCTCCGAATCCTTGCACCCCGGGCGAAATCCCCTGCTCCCCCTCGTGTGCAGGAGCGGGTCGAGCTCAGCAACCCGGACAGTGTGAATCTTCTCTTTTGTTAGGTGTGTGAACAATGATCTTTAAGAACTCTGAGCCAGTGTGAGAAAAAGCAGCTTCATGTTTTGTTTAGAGACTAGTCTTGAAAGTGTTGAGGTAACCAAGGTTTTGCTACCTGTTGTTGATTTGCTAAAAGACTGTGGACGATTGTACTAGGAAGTTAAAAACAGGTTAACATCATGAATCATAGTATTGATGAGAACTATTAAAAATGACAGTTTTTACTTCATTGTGCTTTTGGTTACGTATGGTGTGAGAACAAGAGTATAGTGTTCACTTGTACATAATGTGTTCTTTCCTTCTCTGAGAACCCAATTTATATTAGAGCTCCCCACTTTATAGAAGTATTTGCCACTTCTTGAAATTATTTCTTCGTTTGTTTCTCCTTCCTTTGGAATGTAAGTTCCGCTGCGTTAGTGGTTTTCAAAATTGTTATTTATAACAAATGTTTTTTAGTAGCCGAAAACACTTCCCCCAAATTTCCGGAGCACCCTCTTCAGTTCTGTACTTCCCCCCATTGAGGACCATAGCACAGGGGCAAGAGCTTTGTGAGGCCTGTGCGTACAGCGTGTCCTGGAACATGATTGGTACTTAATGCCTCGCCCTTAGTAGTTGCCTAGTAAATATGTGTTGAGTGAATGAAAAGATAACTAGTTTAGGAACTTAATCATTTGAAGACTGTCAGCATTTGACAGTTGTTAGGCATGGGCTGAGATCTTGGTTTCTTTGACATTACACTGTGGTACTTTCAGAAATGACCATTTCATATCACAAGTTTGAGGAAGTGAGGGACAATAATTATATTTTTAGATGCTTTGAATTTTTTTACCTCCCTCAAGTCACTTTTGGGACTGTAGGTTGTTTTCATCTGCACGTAATCAAACGAGAATATTGCCCTTCCTTATATAGTGATAAATTGGTCATTTTTGTGTGTAGGCAGTAGAGCCTCTGGAATTGGCTAAAGAAACTGAATGTTATGAAAACAGTTGTTAATTTTTTAAAACATGTTCCCTCCAGCCAATGCTTTCGGTCTTAAATTCAATGAAACTTTAAAACAAAAAAAAATGCTCAGGAGACACATTCCTTTGAATATGAAGGAAGAGAGTGGAAAAAGGCAAATAATAGTCATTTCTACCTCTTCAAACTCTCTGTGTATCAGATTGGGCTCAGCTTTAAGAGGGTGGCTTTAGGCTTGGATAATCCTTCAGACATTTGTTTGGGTGGGTGAGAGGCAGACTGAAGGGTTTGTTCTACCACTGCACTAATGTTGATTCAGTGTCCCTGAGGCTTTAGAGACAAAGTCAAAGTTAGGTTTGACTTCTCAGGACTTCGCGGTTTATTTGGGGGGGGGGGGGGTAGCGGCCGGTATGGGATCCAAACCCTTGACCTTGGTGTTACAACACCACGCTCTAACCAATTGAGCTAACCCTCCAGCCTTTCTCAGGGCTTTGGAAAGCGAGAGTATATGTGTTTCTTGGGTTTACTCAGACTCAGAATTGTGTATCTCTTAGGCCTGACAGCCAGAATTCATACTAATCAGCAGGTTCTTTGATTCTTTTCTACACATTGCTACTGTGTGTACACATTGATGAGTTTTATTTATTTATTTATTTATTTATTTAAAAGATGACCGGTAAGGGGATCTAAACCCTTGATTTGGTGTTGTCAGCACCACGCTCAGCCAGTGAGCGAACCGGCCATCCCTATATGGGATCCGAACCCGGGGCCTTGGTGTTATCAGCACCGCACTCTCCCGAGTGAGCCACCGGGCCGGCCCACATTGATGGGTTTTAACTAAACATTTTATTACGTTTAATACTGCATTTTCAAGCAACTAGTTTAAATGTGGGCAACTTATATGAAGTAAGTGTAACATTGCTAGTTGCATTTTTATTGATGGATTTAGCCATGCATCAGGGAACAACTGAGCATCTATCATATGACATGTCCTCAGTCCTGAATGATAGATATTATTTACCTTATTTTACAAATGAGAGCAACCCAAGGCTCTGGATTTAAGAACTTCTCTAAGATCACAGGAGTGGTAGATTTGAGATTCAGTGAAGATTTGCCTGGGTCAAAAGTCCAAATTTTTTTTGCTACACATAATATGTTTCTTTTTTTTAAAAAAATTTTTATTTTTATTTTTTTTTTATTTTTAAAAGATGACCGGTAAGGGGATCTTAACCCTTGACTTGGTGTTGTCAGCACCACGCTCATCGTATAACTTCGTATAATGTATGCTATACGAAGTTATTAGGAATTGAATCTTCAAGAGTCCAAATTTTTTTTGCTACACATAATATGTTTCTTTTTTTTAAAAAAATTTTTATTTTTATTTTTTTTTTATTTTTAAAAGATGACCGGTAAGGGGATCTTAACCCTTGACTTGGTGTTGTCAGCACCATGCTCAGCCAGTGAGCGAACTGGCCATCCCTATGTGGGATCCGAACCCGTGGCCTTGGTGTTATCAGCACCGCACTCTCCCAAGTGAGCCACGGGCCGGCCCCATAATATGTTTCTTGTAGGAACTCACACTCTAGTGGAAAAAGTTAGTAAACCTACTTGAACAACCCAGATGAATTCAAAATAAAAGAACTTTCTTGCATTATCATTGTTTTCTAAATGCACTTAGTAGGTGCTCAGTAAATATTTGTTGAGTGATTAACAAGTTTAGGAACCTACTCATTTAACTTTGTTGATAAATTTGGTTTAGCAACACGGTGAATACTTTATGACTAGGATTAGCTTCCACTAAGCCAAAGGAGTCCAGATGAGGTGACCACCTTAGCCTTAGGTAAGAGGAACTGAAGCACAGGGAGGTTAACTGTTTGCCCGAGGTTGCATTTTAAGTCCTGCAGCATTGCAGAAGCTTGTTCATCTCCTTTCTAAGCTGCCTTCTGTGTATTATTGGGTGCATGTCCTTCATTCTAAATTTGATAAAGATGAGGGCTGTACTTCTGTCCATAGATTCTGTGTGGTTTTCATATTATAAAACATTACCAATGCTGATATCAAACTGATTCAACTCATATACCTCGGATGTGAAGTATATCTATAAGCCATTAAACTCCCAGGTATGTTTTTTCCCAAAGTTTGGCGTATTTCTGAAATAAGATTTAAGATTTCAGGATGATTACTAAAATTAGGCTAGATTGCTTAATGAAGGTATTTTTATACCCTTTACACAAATTATTTGACAATTAAAGAGAGTTAAATGGTTTTTTTTAATGGAACATTTGCTGCAATAGGATTGTTTAAGGTCAGGTTTAACTTTTGATAGTTCATTAATGCTGTAAATAATATTTTAAAAAATTGATAAAACTTTCTGAACATATCTTCCTGACTTTCCTAATTGAAATACTTTGAGACTAATGAGTTTTGTTTGGCGCACTGCTACAGTGCGCCGCTTGTGAGTGCGGTGGCGCTCCCGCCGAGGGTTCGGATCCCACATACAGACTGGCCGCTCACTGGCTGAGCGAGGTGCGGGCGCAACACCGAGGGTTGCGATCCCGTTGCTGGTCCCGGTCCGGTACGGGCGCGACACTGAGGGTTGTGATCCGTTGCCGGTCACGAAAAAAAGACAAAAAAAGACACAAAAAGACAAAAAAAATAACACATGGTATTGAACTTTTTTTGATCAAAAGATAAAATGCTTATAACTTAGTCTGTATAATCATTAAATTTTTTTTTCCTAATTAGGATTCAGTGTTTGGAAAGCTTTTAGGAATTTTTCATGTGTTATGTGATATTTTTGGAAGCAGTTGAATGAAATCTCATATCAGTATGGGATAGTGAAATGAACATTACATTTGATTGGAATATGTGAGTTCAGTACTCCTCTTGGCTGGTAATTGGTGATGCCCTTGATCAGATCACTTGCTTTCTGTGTGTTTAATTTTTCATTTATAAGTTGGGAGTAAGGCTGTGACTCTCATAGGACTATTGTTAGAATCAAGTGAGATAGTTCTTGAAGATGGGAGGGATTATATAAATATGAATTGGTAGTGATATTTATGCGATATAGCCTGTGGTCAGTCTGTTTCATTCTTATTGGTTAAATAGAATGTTAAAATTTTGAAATTTTTAAGAGTTGATTTGAAAAGCTAAAGTTGTGCATTGGCTGCCTTTTGAGGGGGTGCAGGTATATTTTACACTAACAAATTAATATTAAAGTTCATTTATGAATTAAATATGTCATCTCTTACATGCATTTTCATGTTTAGTTATTTTCGGGGTGATTTGGGAATAAATATCTAATCAGAGTTAAATATTTTATAATTTATTTATTTTTGGCAGCTGGCCGGTAAAATATTTTATAATTTAAAAATTGGACTTGAAAATACCTACGGTTTGATTGGGCTTTAACCTGGCAATCTTTATTCTAAAACTATAGGGTTTCCACATGAAACCTTTCTTATTCTGAATGACAGAATATATTGAATGAAACATGTATAAGTAATGAAGTTTAGGGTATATACAAAGCTATATTTACCACAGTTATTAAAAATTACTTTTTGCCTGCAAGGTCGATTTGATTCCAGCTGAACATCTTTCCCCCAGGATGTTGTCTTTTTTAGCTTTAGAATTTGGCATTGTTCAGTTATCTACTGTTACCTGAAAAGTAAAGAATTATGGTTATTTTTTTTTTACGTCACTTTTGTATGTTGCACAAAAACTGCAGTACATTATATGACCCCTTTGGTAACGTGTATTTATTAAAGATTATTAAGTTACTTTGTGGATGTGTACAATGCATTTTGCTAGTTCTGTAGGATAAACTTGCAGAGTTTATTCTTTATTAAAGGTTATACTATGTTAAGTTTTACTTGCTAATTACTTACCGATTGAGTGTTATTTATTAAAGATTTACTATGTCAAGTAAATTGGAGAAAAATGATGTTGAATTCTCACTTGGAAGGGTATAGTTCTTCAAAAAACTAGACTTGCTAGTTTTTGTTGGGAATTGGCAATAAATTGTAGGAAAGGGGAATTTTAAGTAGTTCTTAAGATTTAAAAAATTGCTTAACTGGTTTTTAACTTTTAAATTATTATAAAATTCATTTGTTAACTGAGATATATACTAGTAGCTGAAATGGATTTTTTAAAAAGTCTAGTGGTTCTTAAAGTGTGGTGCCCAGACCAGTAATGTCACTTGGGGACTTGTGAGAAATGCAAATTCTTGGGCCTGACCTGTCGAATTAAAGACCTATTAGAAACCCTGGGGTTGCAGCTAACAATCAGGTGATTCTATTGCATGCTAAAGTTTGAGAACCATTGTTTCAGACTGACAGAATTGACATGGGCTTAATTGTGTGAAACTTGTCTCCAGTGTTTGACTCATGTTTGCCATATGTGGGTCATTTTGTGACCAAGTAGAAATATATTCTTATGGAACACCCTCAAACTAATATAAAAGGAAGTTTTTTATGGGGCTAAGAAGGAGTGATCTAGAAAATGAATAGGCAGAATTTTTCTGTAAAAGGCCAGCTAGTGAATCTTTTAGGCCTTGTGGAACATGTAGTCTCAGTTGCAGCTCAACTCTGCTGTTGCACTGTTGCACAAAAGCAGCTGTAGTTGATACATAAATGAATGTGTTGTACTTCAATAAAATTTTATTTATGGACGCTGAAATTTGAATTTCATATAATTGTCATGTGTCTTTTAAAAAATTTTCTCCCCAATTATTTAAAAATGTAAAAACCATTAGCTGTGGGGCACACAAAAATAGGAAGCTGGCTGTATTTTGCTGACCTCTGGTCTAAAAGATTCCATGTGAAATAAAACATTCTTACAAAATACTAGTGTTCAGCAGTTAACTGAATGTTGGCTACATCATTTACAGTGGGAATCTAATGCACCTCAACAGATGAAAATTTGAGAGACTATTATGCTTAAGAATGATTGCCCTTTTATATTATGCTGTGTCTTTGATTGGCAGTAGCACAAATTGAGAGCCATTCAACTTAATGTAAGTAATTGTAGACTCTTCAGCTGATGTCATTTTGCCATACACCACTCATTTAAAAAATATTGTAATAGTAACATACCACATTAACCTTGAAATGTTGGCTGGTACTTGGAAGGAGGTTTGCTCCAGGAAGAAAATTTAGTTGTTCAATAACTTTTATTTCTTTTCTTTTTTTTTTTTTTTTGAGACTGGCCGCACTGCGCTCAGCCAGTGAGCGCACTGGCCATCCTATATAGGATCTGAACCCGCGGCGGGAGCACCGCTGCGCTCCCAGCGCCGCACTCTCCCAAGTGCGCCACGGGCTCGGCCCAACTTTTATTTCTTTTAATTAATTAATTAAATTTAATTTTTTACTATTTTGGCAACCGACATGTACAGGGATCCAACTCCTACCTTGGTGTTATCAGCACCATGCTTTAACCAATCGAGTTAACCAGTTGGCCAGCCCTGTTATCTTTTGTGAAACTGAAGGGGAAGAAGTGTAGATGTTTCTCCTCAAAATTTGAGGTTTAATATATATATTTTTTTAAATTGAGCGTATTGGCTTCTCAGTGTGATATTGAACATTTAATACCAAATTAAAATTTTACGTTTTATTTAATTCACTAATTTATGCTTTCCCTTTCATGTTACCCATTATCTTTCCTTGCTATGAAGCTACCTTGCTGTCTCTACCACTAGTTTGGCCTTTTGACATTCTCTGTATCAGCGTGGATTACTTTTCTTTTCTTTTTTTTGTAGTAAAAAACACATAACATAAAATTTGCCATCTTAATCATTTTTACATGCATACACATATTTGTTTTTGTAAGCTCCTTTATAGCAGAGAGCGTTTTTCAGAGATCTATAAATCTGCCACAGTGCCAGTGCTTAGTAGATACTAGGAAGAAAGCCAACATTCTCTTCTGCAATGATTGTACCAGTTTTTGAATCCCTGTCTTTATCTTGCAGTATGTTCATGCAGATGCTCCTACCAATAAGACACTGGCTGGACTGGTGGTACAGCTTCTCCAGTTCCAGGAAGATGCCTTTGGGAAACATGTTACCAACCCTGCCTTCACCAAACTCCCTGTAAGTACATCAGCTTATAATACTGGGGGATCTAGAGTCTCTATACTCTTGGGTGCAGCCTACAACTGTTTTCCTGTGCTGCTGCTAGCCTATAGAATTTTTTTTTTTTTTAAAGATGACTGGTAAGGGGATCTTAACCCTTGACTTAGTGTTGTCAGCACCATGCTCTCCCAAATGAGCTAACCGGGCATCCCTATATAGGGATCCGAACCCATGGCCTTGGTGTTATCAGCACCACACTCTCCCGAGTGAGCCACAGGCCAGTCCTAGCCTATAGAATTTTTAAAAAGTAAAAAGATGAAACCTCAACAGAATTTTAGTTATAGGATATTATTATATTTTAGCCATAGGAAGCTTCTTTTTCAGGAGTCATTTAACATTTGCATTAAACATTGCAACAATCATTATAAAGACTTAACTATTAATATTTTACTATGTTGCAGTTCCCTATATTGTACTATACCATGTCTTCTCCATTCTTTCTCCTGATTCAGGTCTTCTGGCTTAGAATACTATTGTGTGGAATTTTTATGTTTTTGGAGAAAGATATTGGAGAAAGATATTCAGTTTAGTCTATTGAGATTGGATTTCCTATAGGTACCTCAGGTTTAGAAATCCCATATAGGGCCGGCCCGGTGGCGCACTGCTATAGTGCACCGCTTGGGAAGTGCGGCGGCGCTCCCGCCGAGGGTTTGGATCCCACATACAGACCGGTTCCCGCTCACTGGCTGAGCGAGGCGCGGGAGCAACACTGAGGGCTGCGATCCCGTTGCCGGTCCCGGTCCGGTACGGGGGCAACACTGAGGGTTGGAATCGGTTGCCGGACACGGAAAAAGACAAAAAAAAAAAAAAAAAATTTATTTGAAAGTGCTTTTTTTTCCTACTGATTTGAGCTCACCAAATGTTAAGCATTTGCTTATGTGCCAAGTTCTGAGAATGGATGCAAAGAGTAATACAATGTGTTGTTTGTCCTCAGGGAGCTCACACTCTAGTGTACTATGTGAATTGTGCCTTTCACTTTCCTGGCGATATCAGGAAATGCTTTCCATGGGACAGGACATTTGAATTTGAGTCTTGAAAGCTGAATATGAGTTCTTCGGGTAAATGCTGGAGGATGGGATTTTCAGGCAGTGGTAACAGTGTGTAAAAGTGTTAAGGCCTGGAAAAATTAGGTACCTTAAGATAGTTGCAGATAGTTCAACATGACTGGAGCTGAGGGTAGATATAGGGCAATAGACAGAGAGATGGGCTAGCATCAGTCATAAAAGTGCTAGAAGTATGTAGCATTTATCCTGAAGGTGATGGGGAACCACATCACAGAGGAAAGTAAAAAGTGGCTTGGTCAATTTTGGGTTTTAGAATAACCCCTCAGGCTTTAGTGTGAAGAATGTCTTGGAAGCTGTTGAAATTGGAGGCTTTGAAAGCTAGTTCTCCATGAAGATATTCTCATCATCCAAGTGAGCTGAGGTGAAGGCCTGTCGAGGAAGCAGTGTATTCAAAGAGGACAGAAAGGAATTGGAAGAGTTTAAGGGGATAGAACTTTGTGATTTTCTTGGGGGAGAGGGGCTTGTAGGGCTGGAATAAGAAAGAATTGACAGGGGTGACTGCCCTGAGCAGTCAGATACCTTTAGCACTAAGGAGAAAACCAGAGTAAAAGGTTTTTGGAGAAAGATATTCAGTTTAGTCTATTGAGATTGGATTTCCTATAGGTACCTCAGGTTTAGAAATCTCATATAGGGCCGGCCCGGTGGCGCACTGCTACAGTGCGCCCCTTGGGAGCGCGGCGGCGCTCCCGCTGAGGGTTCGGATCCCACATACAGACCGGTTCCCGCTCACTGGCTGAGCGAGGGGCGGGCGCAGCACCGAGGGTTGCGATCCCGTTGCTGGTCCCGGTCTGGTACGGGCACGACACCATTATTTACCTCTAGATTTTAAAGATTAGGGAAGAATATTTTTAGGCATAAGTCATAATTAAAAATAATTCATGGCTTAGTGCCAGTGGCACCACGTATACTTTTCTTTCTCTGAAAATAGTGTTCAGCATTATTCCAAATCAAAGGGATTGATATATTTTGTAATGGTGTAGAACAAAAATGGATGAGGGAGACAGTTAATAGAGCAAAAAATGTTTTAGTGAAACATGTAAGCAATTTATCTTTAAAAGTTTTTTTTTTCCTGAATAAGCAGTACTGGTATAAGATTACACTATTTGGGCTGATTCCTTTTTCTTTTTTTTTCCTTTCTAAATGAAAGTGGAAGTTTATATACTACTTGTACCCAAGTCATAGTGTATATCACATAAGGCTCACAGGGTATAGTCTATCAAATGCTAACTGAGAAGTTAGAAAGATTTGGAAAGAATAAAGGATTTTATAAGACTAAAAATATATTGCATAGGTAAATGTATTGTGAATTGAAGCAAGAAAAAAATATTTTCCCCTCCACTAAAATTAAGAATTTATATAATCCCGTCAAGGCTTGGGTACATGTGCATACATAACATAAACATGATTGTAATAACAGAATAGACTCATTTTTCCATTCTGCCTTTTATTTTGTTTTTTTATTTTATATTTTTTGCTGGCTGGTACAGAGATTGAACACTGGACCTTGGTGTTACCAGCACCACACTTTAAACAACTGAGCTAACTGACCAGCTATATTCTGCTTTTTAAAATAGATCATTAGCTTTCATGTTTAGAAAACAGCAAAGCTCTAAGACCTAGAAGACTAGAACGTCAAGTCAGAGTCTAAAGTAACTGAAGATTTTAAATGTGTTTATTAGATGTCCAAGATTTTAAACTTGTCATTGCATTTAAAAAATTAATAATTGAATTTGCAACTAGAGTAAAAATGTAGCATTTTCCTGACCTACTTTTACTCTGCCATAGTATGTATTTCAGAACAGAGAGACTATCTTCGGGAACGTCGGACTAGAAAGGAGAACATAAGTATTGTATGAGTATTGGAAGTGAGCCTTTCAGTTTGTTGCTTAGAACTCTGATGAGAGTAGACTATAAGCAGCAATTTAAGTGAAATGGTGTGGGAAGTTTACTTTGTGGAGCAATGATTTAGTTTCATTTCTTTATAATTTCTTATTGTGAAATTTAACATAAAGAAAAAGAGTAAAACAAATTTTGACTTAAATAATTACAAAGAGAACACCCATTTAACCATAATCCAGGTCAGAAATAGAACATTGCCAACAATCCAGAAACTCTTAATGTATCCCTTCCCCAATCATAAACCCCTTTTTCCCCCTAGAGGTAATCTTTTCCTTGCTTTTCTTTGTAGGTATTAGCATGTTTGCATGCATCTCTAAACAATATAGTATAGTTTTTTTTTTTGTGGCTGGCCATTACAGGAATCCGAACCCATGACCTTGAGATTATAAAGCTGCACTTTAACCAGCTGAACTAACCAGCCATTTGTTTTTTTATTTTCTGAACAAAATAGTGTAGTTTTGCTTGTTTTTGAATTTTATTTGACCTTGGTGGTTACTAGCACTACCCTCTCTCAAGTGAGCTAACCAGTCAGCCCCTCACTGTAGTTTTATTTTGATTTTATTTTTTTCTCAGTATAAAATTATCAATTGCCGTATGTAGTTTTTATTTTTATTATTTATTTAATTATTTTTTTAAAGAAAATGAAATTTTATTAATATTACTTTTTACATTCTAGGATGTTGTTGTGGAGCAGTTGGGACAGAGGGGGAGAAAGGAAAGGGGAAGGAAATGGGATGGAAGAAGGAGGGAGGAGGACGGGTGGGATTGAGGCCTGTGGCACCCCCCCTCATTCCCATAGGAGAGACTGGGGGGCTTCCAGCTGTGGCTTGGTCATTGCTGGGCTGGGTGCAGATGCCAGGGGGGTGAGTAAAAGTCCTCGCCCCACACCATCCCAGCTTGGGAACCCAGGGCTCTTCTTGCTGGGTTGGTTGCATGTGTTGGGGGTGCATTGCCAAGGCCTGAGGTCCCCCCCAGCCCTGCTTGGGAGAGTCTGGGGCGCTTCCTGCGGTGGCTTGGTGGTCACCGCTGGGCTGGCTGCGGGTGTCCCCCACCCTCAGGATTGTTTGTGGGTGTCTGGAGGCATTGCTGAGGCCCCTGTCCCTCCCCCCTTTCTGGCTTAGTATCCTAGGGGACTTCCGGTTTTTCTGTGTTATAGGTGTTCTTTGAAATGAGACCTTTACTAGTTAATATGAAACTTTGTCTCTGGTTGCGGGTACTTTGTTTTTTCTTTGAGTTCTGTGTTGGATTATTTGCTGTTCCCACCATTTAAACTCTGCACTAGGACTAATTTGTTATCCGTTGCTTACTTCTAAAATGGAATTTCTCGTGGGGACCAGTACTTTAGCTGTGTGTTGAGCTAGATTGCTGCTTTGCTGCTGTTTTCCTAGGGAAGGCTTTTTGTGCAGCTCAGGTTTTAATGGTTGACTTTATAGTTCTCATGAGATCCAGTACACTCGGGTTGTGTGGAAACTCTGGTCTGGGCCTGAGTCTTCTCATCAAACTGCACCCCCTGCAGTTCTGTATTCCTGACCAGTCTCCTGTGAGTGGTCCTTTGCTGATAGGGGTGCAGATCAGCTGTCCTTGCTGTGCCCCAGTGTTCTCCCGGTGGGCCCATCTCCCCCACTGCCCATGCTGCAAACAGTTCCCATGGGGCCAGCCCATGGCTCACTTGGGAGAGTGTGGTGCTGACAACACCAAGTCAAGGGTTAAGATCCCCTTACTGGTCATTTTTTTGAAAAACAAAAACAAAAACAAAAAAAACCCCTCCACTTCCCATGGGATGGGCCGTGTGCCAGTCCCTTGCAATGATTCACCGGCCTCTGAGTGTCTCCTTTTCTTTGGTTTTTGTGGCTCCTCACTCCTACGTGAATCCACAGGAACCCTATGGGTCTTGCTGGCCCAGGGGTTGGCAAGTCCCTCTTCTCCTCTCCCACCTGCAAGCAACTTCCATCTGGAGGGCACAGATGCGGCTTTTGCCGGCTCCTGCTCCATGCG